TATTTGCGACGTTATTTAAAAACGTCGTGAATAATCAATTTAATTATTCTTTTAAAATTTTTATTTACGTTAAAAGTTTATTTGAAATATAAAAAATGTCGCAAAAAATCAATTAAATTTTTTTATTTTTAATTTTTTTATTCACGTAAAAAGTTTATTGCGACATTTTTTAAAAACGTCGTGAAAAATCAATTAAATTGTTTTTTCTTAGATCTTTTATTCAAGTAAAAAGTTTATTGGCGACCTTTTTTCGAAACGTCGCGAATAATCAATTAAATTATTTTTTTTAAATCTTTTATTCAGGTAAAAAGTTTATTTGCGATGTTTTTAAAAAACGTAGTGAAAAATCAATTAAATTATTTTATTTTTAAATCTCTTGTTCACGGAAAAAGTTTATTTGCAACGTTTTTTAAAAACATCGCGAAAAATCAATGAAAATGTTTTTTCTTAAATCTTTGGTTCACGCAAAAAGTTTAGTGGCGACGTTTTTTTATAGAAATGTCGTGAATAATCAATTAAATTATTTTTTAAAATTTTTTATTCAGGTAAAATATTTATTTGCGACGTTTTTAAAAATTGTCTCAAAAAATCAATTAAATTGTTTTATTTTTAAATCTTTTGTTCACGTAAAAAAGTTTATTTGCAACATTTTTTAAAAACGTGGCGAAAAATCAATGAAATTGTTTTTTCTTAAATCTTTTGTTCACTTAAAAAGTTTATTGGCGACATTTTTAGAAATATCGCGAATAATCAATTAAATTATTTTTTTTAAATGTTTTATTCAAGTAAAAAGTATAATTGCGACGTTCTTAAAAAATGCCGCGAAAAATCAATGAAATTATTGTTTCTTAAATCTTTTGTTCACACAAAAAGTTTATTGGCAACGTATTTTAGAAACGCCGCGAGTAATCAATTTAATTATTTTTTTTAAATATTTTATTCACGTAAAAAGTTTATTTGCAACATTTTTCAAAAACGTAGCGAAAAATCAATTAAGTTGTATTATTTTTAAATCTTTTATTCACGCAAAAAGTTTATTTACGACGTTTTTTGAAAACGTCACGAAAAATCAATGAAATTATTTTTTCTTATCTTTTGTTAACGTAAAAAGTTTATTGGCAAAACGTCGCAAATAATCAATTTAATTTTTTTAAAAATCTTTTAAAAAGTTTAGTTGCGGCGTTTTTAAAAAACGTCACCAAAAATCAATTAAATAATTTAATTTTTAATTTTTTTATTAACATAAAAAGTTTATTGGCGACGTTCCAAAAAATGTCGCGAATAATCAATTAAATTATTTTTTTAAAATCTTTTATTCAAATAAAAATTTTATTTGCGATGTACTTAAAAAACGTCGTGAAAAATCAATTAAATTATTTTATTTTTAAATCTTTTATTCGCGTAAAAAGTTTATTTGCGACATTTTTTGAAAACGTCTCAAAAAATCAATGAAATTGTTTTTTCTTAAATATTTTGTTCACGCAAAAAGTTTATTGGCGACGTTTTTTAGAAATGTCGCAAATAATTGATTTAATTTTTTTTTAAATATTTTATTCAAGTAAAAAGTTTATTTGCGACGTTTTTAAAAATAGTCTCGAAAAATCAATTAAATTATTTTATTTTTAAATCTTTTATTCACGTAAAAAGTTTATTTGCAACGTTTTGTAAAAACGTCACGAAAAAGTAATGAAATTCTATTTTCTTAAAACTTTTGTTCATGTAGAAAGTTTATTGGCGACGTTTTTTATAAATGTCGCGAATAATCAATTAAATTATTTTTTTAAATGTTTTATTCAGGTAAAAAGTATATTTGCGACGTTCATAAAAAATGTCGCAAAAAATCAACGGAATTGGTTTTTCTTAAATCTTTTGTTCACGCAAAAAGTATATTGGCGACGTTCTTAACAAACTTCGTGAAAAATCAAATAAATTGATTTATTTTTAAATCTTTTATTGTTGTAAAAAGTTTATTTGCGACGTTTTTTGAAAACGTCGCGAAAAATCAGTGAAATTATTTTTTCTTAAATCTTTTGTTCACGCAAAAAGTTTCTTGGCGACGTTTCAAAAAATCGTCGCGAATAATCAATTACATTATATTTTTTAAATCTTTTATTCAAGTAAAAATTTTATTTGCGACGTTCTTAAAAAACGTAGTGAAAAATCAATTAAATTAGTTTATTTTTAAATCTTTTATTCGCGTAAAAACTTTAATTGCGATGTTTTTTGAAAACGTTGCGAAAAATCAATGAAATTATTTTTTCCTAAATCTTTTGTTTGCGTAAAAAGTTTATTGGTGACGTTTTCTAAAAAACGTCGCGAATAATCAATTTAGATGTTTTTTTAAAATATTTTAAAAAGTTTATTTGCGGCGTTTTTAAAAAAGGTTGCCAAAAATCAATTAAATTATTTTATTTTTAATTTTTTTATTCACGTACAAAGTTTATTGGTGACGTTTCCAAAAAATGTCGCGAATAATCAATTAAATTTTTTTTAAAAATATTTTATTCAAGTAAAAAGTTTATTTGCGACATTCTTAAAAAACGTCATGAAAAATCAATTAAATTGTTTTCTTTTTAAATCTTTTATTCGCGTAAAAATTTTATTTCCGACGTTTTTTGAAAACGCCGCGAAAAATCAATGAAATTTTTTTTTTTAAATCTTTTGTTTATGCAAAAAGTTTATTGTCAACGTTTTTTAAAAATGTCGCGAATAATTCATTTAATTTTTTTTTTTAAATCTTTTGTTCTCGTAAAAAGTTTATTTGCGACGTTTTTAAAAATAGTCTCGAAAAATTAATTAAATTATTTTATTTTTAAATCTTTTGTTCACGTAAAAAGTTTATTTGCAACATTTTTTCAAAACGTCGCGAAAAATCAATGAAATTGTTTTTTCTTAAATCTTATATTCACGTAAAAAGTTTATTGGCGACGTTTCTAAAAAACGTCGCGAATAATCAATTAAATTATTATTTTTTAAATTTTTTATTCAGGTAAAAAAGTATATTTGCGACGTTCTTTAAAAATGTCGCAAAAAATCAATGAAATTGTTTTTTCTTAAATCTTTTGTTCACACAAAAAGTTTATTGGCGACATTTTTTAGAAACGTCGCGAATAATCAATTTAATTATTTTTTTTAGATCTTTTATTCACATAAAAAGTTTATTTGCGACGTTTTTTAAAAACGTCACGAAAAATCAATGAAATTGTTTTTTCTTAAATCTTTTGTTCACGTAAAATATTTATTGGCGACGTTTTTTACAAATGTCGCGAATAATCAATTTAATTATTTTTTTAAAATCTTTTAAAAAGTTTATTTGCGATGTTTTTAAACAATGTCGCCAAAATTCTATTAAAGTATTTTATTTTTAATTTTTTTATTCACATAAAAAGTTTATTGGCGACGTTTCCAAAAAAACGTCGCGTATAATTTGTTAAATTATTTTTTTTAAATCTTTTATTCAAGTAAAAACTTTATTTGTGATGTTCTTAAAAAACGTCGTTAAAAATTAATTAATTATTTTATTTTTAAATCTTTTATTCGCGTAAAAGACGTCGCGAAAAATCAGTGAAATTTTTTTGTCTTAAATCTTTTGTTCACACAAAAAGTTTATTGGCGATGTTTTTTAGAAATGTCGCGAATATTTGATTTAATTTTTTTTTTTAAATCTTTTATTCACGTAAAAAGTTTATTTGCGGCGTTTTTAAAAATAGTCTCGAAAAATCAATTAAATTATTTTATTTTTAAATCTTTTATTCAAGTAAAAAGTATATTTGTGACGTTCTTTAAAAATGTCGCAAAAAATCAATGAAATTGTTTTTTCTTAAATTTTTTGTTCACACAACAAGTTTATTGGCGACGTTTTTTAGAAATGTCACGAATAATCAATTTAATTATTTTTTTTAAATTTTTTATTCACGTAAAAAATTTATTTGCAACGTTTTTAAAAAATGTCACAAAAAATAAATTAAATTATTTTATTTTTAAATCTTTTATTCACGTAAAAAGTTTATTTGCGACGATTTTTAAAATCATCACGAAGAATCAATGAAATTATTTTTTCTTAAATCTTTTGTTCACGTAAAAAGTTTATTGGCGTCGTTTTTTAGAAGCATTGTGAATAATCAATTTAATTGTTTTTTTAAAATCTTTTAAAAAGTTTATTTGCGGTGTTTTTAAAAAAACGTCACCAAAAATCAATTAAATTATTTTATTTTAAATTTTTTTATTCACGTAAAAAATTTTTTTGCAACGTTTCCAAAAAACGTCGCGAATAATCAATCAAATTATTTGTTTTAAATCTTTTATTGAAGTAAAAAGTTTATTTGCCACGTTCATAAAAAACGTTGTGAAAAATTAATTAAATTATTTTATTTTTAAATCTTTTATTCACGTAAAAAGTTTATTTGCGATGTTTTTTGAAAACGTCGCGAAAAATCAATGAAATTGTTTTTTCTTAAATCTTTTGTTCACACAAAAAGGTGACATTTTTTCGAAATGTCGCGAATAATCAATGTAATTATTTTTTTAAAACCTTTTATTCATGTAAAAAGTTTATTGGCTACGTTTTTTGGAAACGTCGTGAATAATCAATTAAATTCTTTAAAAAAAATTCTTTTATTCACGTAAATAGTTTATTTGCAATGTTTTTAAAAAACGTCACAAAAAATCAATTAAATTGTTTTATTTTTAAATCTTGTATTCATGTAAAAAGTTTATTAAACGTCGCTAAAAATCAATTTAAATTATTTTTTTAAATCTTTTATTCACTAGAAGAGTTTATTTGCGACGTTTTTAAAAAATGTCACAAAAAATCAATTAAATTATTATTTTTAAATCTTTTATTTATGAAAAAAATTTATTGGCGACGTTTTTAAAAAACATCGCAAAAAATCACTTAACCAATTCCCGCCATTGCTCCTGCTAAAAAATAATTATGAGGAAATCGCCTTTTTACGACAACATTATAAAATCGTCGGTAATAGTAAATTTTTTGCAACAATTTAAAAATTGTCGCAAAAAAAAAAACGTTGCAAAAAATGCTTTTTGTTGTAGTGTGTGCTTCCTCTTCTACTTCTACTTCCACTTCTGCTCCCACGTCTACTTCTATCCCCACTTCTGCTTCCATTTCTAACTGGACTTCTGTTGATGCTGATGTTTCTCTGCAAAACCATAGGAGGGCTTCCATTGACACTTGCACTCTTGCTCACACTCCGTTTGGGGCTCCTAGAAGGGGCCCTACCAGAGCTTCTGCTTATGCTTCTTCGAGATGGTCTTATTGGGCTTCTGCTCACTAATTTCCAAGATGACTTTCTTGATGAGGTTCCAGGTGCGCTCCGGCTAAGGCTCCTCCGAGGGGGGGATGATGTGGGACTCCTGCTAAAGCTTTTTTGACGGTAGCCTTTCACTAGGCTCAGGTTGATGTTTTTTCCTCTCTTATCCCTCACTATACTTCTGCTTCCACATCTGCTTCCACCTCTGCTTCCTCTTCTACTTCTGCTTCCACTTCTGCTTGTGCTTCCACTTTTGCTCCCACTTCTTCTTATGTTTCCACTTTTGCTTCCACTTCTACTTCTGTTTCCACTTCTGTTTCTACTTCTGCTTCCACGTTTGCTCCCACTTCTGCTTCCACTTCTAACTGGACTTCTGCTGATGCTTCTGCTTCTCCGCAAAACCATAGAAGGGCTTCCACTGACACTTGCACTCTTGCTCACACTCTGTTTGGGGCTCCTAGAAGGGGCCCTACCAGAGCTTCTGCTTATGCTTCTTTGAGATGATCTAATAGGGATTCTGCTTATGCTTCTTCGAGATAATCTAATATGTCGTCTTCCTATTCTTCTTCGAGATGGTCTCATTGGGCTTTTGCTCACTAATTTTTGGGATGACTTTCTTGATGAGGTTCTAGGTGCACTTAGGCTAAGGCTCCCCCGAAGGGGGGATGATATGGGACTCCTGCTAAAGCTTCTTTGACGGTGGCCTCTCACTGGGCTCAGGTTGATGTTTTTTCCTCTCTTGCCATTCACTGAACTTCTACTTCCACTTCTACTTCTGCTTCCACTTCTACTCCCACTTCTACTTCTGTTTCCACTTTTGCTTCCACTTCTACTTTTGTTTCCATTTCTGCTTCCACTTCTGCTCCCACTTCTACTTTTGTTTCCACTTCTAACTGGACTTCTGCTGATGCTTCTGCTTCTCCGCGAAACCATTGATGGGCTTCCACTGACACTTGCACTCTTCCTCACACTCCGTTTTGGGCTCCTAGAAGGGCCATTACCAGAGCTTCTGCTTATGCTTCTTCGAGATGATCTAACAGTGCTTCTGCTTATGCTTCTTTGAGATAATCTAATATGATGTCTTCTTATGCTTCTTCGAGATGGTCTCATAGGGCTTCTACTCACTAATTTCCTGGATGACTTTCTTGATGAGGTTCTAGGTGTGCTCCGGCTAAGGCTCCTCCAAGGGGGGGATGATATGGGACTCCTGCTAAAGCTTCTTTGATAGTGGCCTCTCACTGGGCTCTGGTTAATGTTTTTTGCTCTCTTGCCTGTCACTGGACTTCTGCTTCCATCGCTGCTTCCACTTCTAACTGGACTTCTACTGATGCTTCTGCTTCTCCGCGAAACCATAGGAGGGCTTCCACTTCTAACTGGGCTCTGTGATACACTGTTAGGAATTGCTTCATGTTTATCTGATGCACTTTTAAGAATTGCTTCAAGTTTATCTAATTCACTTTTGCATAGATCATCCCTTTTTCCTAAGAAAAAAGATCCCAAAACTTTAAGAGCTAATGGAAGACCATCGCAGGAGTGTACTAGAATTTTTGAGAGATTTGTATAATCTTCAATTGGATGCTCTTGTCCAAATGCATGCAAGCTAAAGAGCTTAAGCGATTCATCGTAATTCAACTTTTCCATTGTATGCCCCATATAGATTTCACAACCCTTTACCAACCACTTGTGCCTAGTTGTTATGATGATTTTACTCCCTGGAAAAAACCAATGTCGCTTTCCAATCAATGCATTCACTTGTTCCACTTGATATACATCATCGAAAACAAGCAAGACTTTTTTACTGCCTATGGCCTCTTTGATCATACTAATACCTACATCAATACTCCATATATGTTCCATTTTTCGATTTAACACATCAGAAATAAGTTTCCTTTGTAAATCAACTAGGGCACGAGATGGTTCTAAATTTTCTCTAATTGCAAGAAAGCTCCCACCTTCAAATCTCTGAAAATTTGAGTTGTAAACAAATTTTGCTACAGTGGTCTTTCCTATGCCCCCTTTCCCCAAAATCACAACAATTTCAGCTTTGCTTGACCCATTTTGTAACCACGAATTTATGTGTTTGGCTCGAGTGTGCATTCCAATTAGGTATGGGTCAATATGAAAGGGTGTATGACTTATTTTATCTCCAAGCTCTTTAACAATTTTCTTGATAAACTTTGCTTCATACCTAGAAATTGCCACGAAATGAAAAATAAGGCTTAGTGAACTTTGTTGTGACTTGGAGCAAATAAAAAAACATTGCATATAGGAAAAATGTGATTAATCATCATCATTTTAACAATAAAATATTGATTCTAGACTGAGAAGTAAAAGCTGAAAACAAGACAAAATAAGAGCTNATGAGGTTCTAGGTGTGCTCCGGCTAAGGCTCCTCCAAGGGGGGGATGATATGGGACTCCTGCTAAAGCTTCTTTGATAGTGGCCTCTCACTGGGCTCTGGTTAATGTTTTTTGCTCTCTTGCCTGTCACTGGACTTCTGCTTCCATCGCTGCTTCCACTTCTAACTGGACTTCTACTGATGCTTCTGCTTCTCCGCGAAACCATAGGAGGGCTTCCACTTCTAACTGGGCTCTGTGATACACTGTTAGGAATTGCTTCATGTTTATCTGATGCACTTTTAAGAATTGCTTCAAGTTTATCTAATTCACTTTTGCATAGATCATCCCTTTTTCCTAAGAAAAAAGATCCCAAAACTTTAAGAGCTAATGGAAGACCATCGCAGGAGTGTACTAGAATTTTTGAGAGATTTGTATAATCTTCAATTGGATGCTCTTGTCCAAATGCATGCAAGCTAAAGAGCTTAAGCGATTCATCGTAATTCAACTTTTCCATTGTATGCCCCATATAGATTTCACAACCCTTTACCAACCACTTGTGCCTAGTTGTTATGATGATTTTACTCCCTGGAAAAAACCAATGTCGCTTTCCAATCAATGCATTCACTTGTTCCACTTGATATACATCATCGAAAACAAGCAAGACTTTTTTACTGCCTATGGCCTCTTTGATCATACTAATACCTACATCAATACTCCATATATGTTCCATTTTTCGATTTAACACATCAGAAATAAGTTTCCTTTGTAAATCAACTAGGGCACGAGATGGTTCTAAATTTTCTCTAATTGCAAGAAAGCTCCCACCTTCAAATCTCTGAAAATTTGAGTTGTAAACAAATTTTGCTACAGTGGTCTTTCCTATGCCCCCTTTCCCCAAAATCACAACAATTTCAGCTTTGCTTGACCCATTTTGTAACCACGAATTTATGTGTTTGGCTCGAGTGTGCATTCCAATTAGGTATGGGTCAATATGAAAGGGTGTATGACTTATTTTATCTCCAAGCTCTTTAACAATTTTCTTGATAAACTTTGCTTCATACCTAGAAATTGCCACGAAATGAAAAATAAGGCTTAGTGAACTTTGTTGTGACTTGGAGCAAATAAAAAAACATTGCATATAGGAAAAATGTGATTAATCATCATCATTTTAACAATAAAATATTGATTCTAGACTGAGAAGTAAAAGCTGAAAACAAGACAAAATAAGAGCTCTCATGCAGTTTTTTACGATTCGAAATCTATTTAAAAGTTTATTTTATCTTCATTAATCTTGATTACTTTTATTTAGAACTTGTTTTACTTTTGTTTGAAACGTGTACCTTTTTTTATTATTATTATTTCGTTTGAACTTTTCCGTATCCCAATAAAATTCAACGGCATTATTCTTCTCATGTTTCGTCATTCTTTAAAAGAAAGAATGAATAGTTCTTAACCAAAAGAAGAAAAGAAAAGAATGAATGAACAGTGATTTCTAGCTAATCATGATGCTAAACATATAATACCCTTTTTATGAAATAGGTAACTTTAGGATTATTACAATTTCTTGCTAATCATGTTGTGGTAACAATTTTTATCACTTTTTTTTGTACAAATTTTTTACCACTTTTGTAAGTGATTTATCACTTTTGTTGGTCTTATTTCACTATTATGTTTATTTTTACCACTCTGCAATAATTTTTTCGATATTACAACAGTGGTAAAAATATTCGCAACAATAAAAAAATCACTCACAAATGTAGTAACGTTTGGTATGGTACCAAAATTTTGATTTTCATACCTTAGTCAAGTCTTTTTTGGGAAAAAAATCCACAAAAAAATTTAAAAAAAAATGATTATGCACCGAGAGAGAGAGAGAGAGGATCTCGTATGAAGTTTTTCTCCAGAAAAAGCCAATTTCAAGAGTTGCCACAATTATTCTTTTCAAGATTTCCTTGTATAAAAAGTAGGACACAAAAGTGAGAAGGAAACCAAAGTACATTCAAAAGGCTTGCTGAAAAATGATGCAGAAAAGAAAGATTTTGGAGAAAAGAATTTACCCATTAGCTTGATTTTTCAAAACCATCCCTCCCAAATCTGCAACCTCTCTAAGCGCCGCTCTCCAGCCTTTCACTTTGTCCATGCCACCAGTTTCTCTCTTGATTGTCTCTTTATGCTCTGCAAATGCTTTCAAAAAACTTCCAGTTTGGTTCCTGACTTGGGTCGGTTCCACATCATAGAAGACAGGTAGAACTACATGTCGAGACGTCTTCTTGTGTTCAAGGATCATCACGAGTTCATCGAGACAGTATATGGACGATGCATAATCTTTTGAGAAGACAATTATCGAACACATTGACTCTTTAATTGCTTTCTGCAGCTCCAAAGTAATATTTTCCCCTCTACTTATCTCATCATCGTCTCTAAACGTGCGAAATTTAGAATTCTCCAAAGCTGTATGGAGGTGGTCAGTAAAATGTTTGCGGTTGTCTTCACCTCTAAAGCTCAAGAACACGTGATAAGAAAATCCACAAGGGACAGCCATTGAAATAGAGGTCAAAGAGATTAAGGTTGAAGGTAGCTACGGAATCTTTCTGGCTAAGGCGCAAGGGATGCTGTAGAAAGGTCCATACCATTACTCGCATATATAAGAAGAAAATAATTGACGAGCAGAGGGAGTCAATGATTTCCATTATAAAAACCAGAAATCGGTTAATAGCAAACAATTTAGAGGGAGGAGCTTGACGAGCCTTTTGCTGCCTATTTTCTAAATTATTTGAATTTAAATTTTTTAATAAAATATCTATCTAACATTATAGTAATAAGTTATATTCTCAACTAATAAGGTAAATTCCAAACTTATAAAAACACAATAATGATTAATATTAATCCTATCATCATTTATTTTGATCGAATGATGCAAAATTTATCCAAAATTTTTTTTTCAACGAAACATCAACTTCTCTACATGATCTTCAATGGTTGACAACTCAACCAATAAATCAAAACACTCCCCAATATCAAACAATCTTATCAATTCATACCTATCTTTCTTTCCATTTTAATTTTAAATTATGTAATTAAAAAAATAAATTACTATTTACTATTGATATTGTAGAGTCAATATTCGATTTTTGATATTATATAGTGTCTTCTAGCACTCATGTATTGCTATTGATTTTATATTTATATATAATTACACTCTAACAAACTTCCCACTACTTTTTTAACTTTCATTTTTTTTAAAAAAAAATTCTCTTCTATTCACTTAATTTTCTTCTCTATTATGTTATTTTCTGTTTAAACAAGATCGAGAAAAGATTAAGAGAAAAATATTTTCACATGTAAAAATTTAGATTTCGTGCATCACATGATTTGGTTACTACTCTTATAAACTAATTTTTTTATGTTTTCATCTAATAAGACAACAAGTAGAGAAGTGACCAATTGACGATTTTTAATCTGAAAAAATCACCGACTGAATCATTTATCTAGGCTAGGCAAATGCAATGGTGTCCCTCATGGTCCATTAATTTATTAGAACTTCAAAAAAAAAAATTGACTTAATTAGTTGACATGATGTGATAAGTGATAGAGTCTCAACAAAGAAGTCCAACAGTTATCATTATAATAACACTATTTGACATATTGTCGTATCATTATATCAATAAATAAGATTATTATTTTCAGGGTAAATTATACTGACACTCCCTGTAGATTGGTCTAATTACAGAAACACCACCTTATTTTTTAAAATTACACTGACACCCTTTACTGTTAATTACTCATTTCACAAAGTACTCATATGGTTAGCATCGTTATTGGCAAAGTCAAAAAAGTGGTTACATCATTAACTTTTTACATTTTAATACCCATATTACCCCTGAACAAAATTAAGGTAATATATTTATTTTCATGTAATGTGAAATCGCTCCAAAAAAGGGCCCCTTTGGACCCGTCCTTACGAGAGTAAACCCTGAATACGTACAATCACCAGTAAATCATAGGTACCGGTTAAGCCTGAGAGACACCAGCGAAAGTCGAACTCTTGACGTTTGAATCTATAGTTTATCTGAGTTCAACTCCACACCACTGGGCAACCCGTGTGAGTATATTCATATTCGTGTTGAACCTTATAAACTTTGAATAAAAAAACTTAACGCTAAGATTTAAGTCTAAAATTTTATTATCACTTAATTAAATCAAGAAGATAGAGGAACAAGGGCGACCCGAGATATTTTGGGGCCTAAAGCGAAAACAATAAATAAGGCCTTTTATTTTTAACATTAATAATAAATTTATTTTTAATTATTAAAAAAAATAAATTTTTATATTCAAGCTTTTATTACTATATTTGAACTTGATAAAAAGAGACGGAAATAATAATTAAAAATTATGATAATAAGTTTAAACTCAACTTTTTTAGAGGGTTAAGACCAAATTTTTTATTAACTTTAGTTTTCCTGTTAGTTTTTTTTCTTTTTTTTTTAGAAATAAATTTTTAGATCTTTTAATTTCATGGCTAAATTAATAGACTCAATCTATTTAAGTTGAAATCTTTGGTCAGTGTAGAATTATGGATTTAATTTTTGTGTTTGGACTATTACTACACGCTTATAAATTATAGAATCTTCCTTGAAGTGAGGCCTTAATTTTTTTTTAATTGGGCTTGTGTTTTTATAAGATCTTTTTTGTAGGGCTTAAAATATTTATGGGTTTAGTTTTTTTATATAGACTATTTATGATATCTAAAAATTTGGAGCCTTCTTTAAAAATGAAGCTTAAAGTCCAAGCTTTTTCAACTACACTGCTGAACCGCCCTTGTAGAGGAAGTTCAACACGATTAAATAAA